TGGGCTAGTGGATCGCCGGAGCTGTTAGATTAACATTAACATGCTTATTGTAGTTGTAAGTGCACTGCCTTGCGGCCTGTAGCACCGTCCTTGATGGAGCATATGTGTGGGCTGGACCTGTATTTTACAGGAAAGGAGTGAGCAGAGATTAGAGTAGTTGTCGATTCTTGTTCTGTTTTCTGTGAATATCTGCCTCACCCTCTCAGACTTTGAGTTGCGCGCGCTACTAAAGAGACGTGTTACCATGGAAACCAAACAATGGTGTAGGTGTATTAAAGTCCGAGTGGAAACAGTCTTGTGTAAATCTGATTTTGTCAGAAATGCGGGAGAAATATGACCCCGGGAGGAAACCGGGAGAGGGCAATGAAATCGGGAGTCTCCCGCGAAAATCGGGAGGGTTGACAAGTATGATTGTCACGCCTGAAATCTGAGCCGCGCCTCTTCCATCTTGATTATTCTGACAGTAATAACTATACTGCTGATTTTGTAAAGTATTACTTAGCTGATCAGAGTTTAAACTATTTTCTGTAGCTCAAGTCCACTTTTCTTGGTAATGATCAGACATGAAATAGGATTTAGAAAATGTCGAGGCTTTGAGTCTTGGTGCAGTGAGACAGTGAGGCGGGGAATCGATAAAAACTGATAGGTAAGTCTTTTTTTGTTGTTGTTGCTGCAAAACAATTATCAGAGTCTGAAGCTCTTGAAACGAAGCCATTTCCAGCCAACATGTTCTTCTGCAATCCAACTACTCTTGACCCCAATCTGCCAGGTGAGGAAGGTGGACACGTCTCCTCTTCCTCACCCTCAACTTTTGGCTTAGCCTCAGCCCATTTAACAATCAGACTCTTCTAGAAAACTGACCTTGACCACAAGAATGAAAATCGAAGAAGTGGTGGGGGCGGAGGGAGCCTCGTAAGAAAAACCTCTCAAGCTAAAAATAGAAAAAGGTGGCAATTAGGTGCCAATCTAATCATCGCTCTGCTAAACGAGCCCTGAAGATCCCGCCCTCATCTCCCCGAGGTTTTTCTCTCGCAGCACTTCCTCATCATCGCCGGCTATCGGCTTAATTACGCCCTCGCCATCCCCCCAGATAAGAGAGTGATAGCCTTATCACCACGGCTCATTTCAGAATCCATGAAATTAATAAAGTCTACCTCCCGTCTGAGTTCTGGGGCCAAACTTATATTAGCTGTCTCGTACGAGGACTCAGTGAAGTACTACTTCGCCTGCTCTCGGAGAAAGGTGGAGGAGTTCATCCTGAGAGGAGATTAAAGACTCTAATACAAGTTTTTGCATCACAGCAGCTCCATTCAGCACATCAACAAGGACAGATATTAAGACACGATACAAGAACATTTAACGTAACAATAAGTGAAGAGAAAGCATGCTTAAAACCCTCTAACGTACATTAGCTCAGGGATTTACTTCTGTATTTATTTGAGGATTGACTGATGCACAAAGGAGGGCTTCAATCCAACCCAACTTTATTTATAGCACATTTAAGAGTTGACCAAAGTGCTGTACATCAATAAATATATAAAAGGCATCATAAATACATTTAGACAAAACCGATGGGAAAGCACGAGACAATAAAACCTGACTTGTAGCCACAGACTGAAAAACTCTCATACACGATGTAAAAACATTTTAAAACCCCAATTTAGAAAACACAGACTGACACATCTTCTTAAACGTGGTCTGCGAAAGCACGGGAGAACAAGTAGGTCTTCAGTCTAACTTTATTAAATCGTGGGACTCTGTTTCTCCGAGTGACAATTCATCCGTTTTGGGTCAGAGATGATGTTGTTGGCCAGCCTCATTATGTCATTATGGTTCTAGTCTGAGAGTTTCTCACAGACGAGGAGGAAAGGCTTTTTAAGTTTAGGGCGTATGATGTTTGGGATATTTATATTAGTTAGTTATGATTCTTCTCTCTTAATTTAATGTCCAATTGGTTCGGTTGAATTCTTAATTTCCCTTAATATCCTCCTTTCTGCACAATGCAGTTTGTCAAATATCATCATACATCGTACTAGTTTCTTTTGTATATTTAAATTTGGTGTATATAATTCTTCTTTAATGTATTTTTTTATTTGTATAATCGTTATATTTGTGTCCTTCTCTAACAACTTATTTTCTACTGTTGCTTGAGTTTGAACCGTCACACACCAAAGCAAATTGTTATAACGAGTTACAAAAATACTGGACTCAAATGCAACGACTCACTTTTTAATGAGAAAAATAAAACAAGTTTAAACAAAAGATCACTCTTGCGAGGACAAAACAAAACTCTTGATTTCTAACAAACAAAAACTCTCCTCTCTGGTAATACGCTGGGTCTCTGGACATGTGAAGCACACTGAAACAAGACGAACTGGCACAAGACAAAGGGAGACAAGGACTATTTAAACATGAGGGAATTGGGAACAGGTGGAAATAATCAGGGGCGGGGCAGACGCTGACGATGGCGGGAAAACACCCAAAGTGAGGAAGTAACAGGGCCTGAAAAGAAAGACAAGAGGTAAGTACAAAAATAAAACAGGAAATGGGAAAACGAGACATGACATGAAACATGGGGACTTGACTAGAGATGACAGACATAAAATATACAGACAAGAAGTGAAGTAACATGAAAACCTGACTCTACAAAGAAACCTGACTAGACTTGGAATGACAGACATAAAACAAACACAACTAACAAAATTGACGACACCACACAAATTGTGTAAACCCACCTGGCGCTAAACTCAATTCTGATTCTTAATTTCTACAGTGGCCTCTGCACACTTTAACATATCAATATGTTGAAATAAAAGCACTTCCTGCAGACAGCCAATAACAGCTAACTTGAACAGAGTTTGGTTTCGAGTCGTCTCTATGAGCTCTCCGTGTGTTGGCGGCTGTACTCAGGGGGGAGGCAGCTGCTTTCACCGGGCTGTTCCACCTGCCGCTCCCCTGAGGAAAAGCTCTGTGCTTCACAGACCAAATCCACTCCAAGTCTCTCTCTCTCTCTCCAGCGTGACTGGCAGGGGTCTCACACATCGATTTCAGGGGGAAAGGGAAAGGGAAAGGTTGGGGGCGCTGGCAGTGGAACGAGACGGGCTCCCACCAGGTTTGGGGCCTGTCATTTATTTCTANGTGTGAAAAGGTGCCGACGGTGCGGGACGTGCGGGACACACCAACCTGAGTAGGGCGCCACGAATGCCCGACTGCCTCTTACGGCCTCTGACTCCCAAAATCGGGTTGGTGTGTAGCCAGCTTAAGGGGCGGGACATCTCTAAGTGTTTCACAACAGAGCCAGCTGCCCAATCAGAGCAGACTTGGCTCTGGTTTCAAACAGAGGGTCAAAAAACAGGTACAAGCACCTGGAAATTAGCAGAATATGTAGTTTTCATTATAAATAATCACAAACTATTGTGGTCATTTACGTTATTACATATGTAATTGATTGACACCACTACTTTTTACACATTTTAAGCCTAACTCTACTGAGATACTCCTTCACCGACACTGATATATCCTGCATACACTGATAGATTCACTGCACTTCTTTATCTCTGGCAGCCTGTGTGATTATGTGGAGGCCTCCGGTCCAGCGTTCACTCACCGCACGGTTTCGACAGTCCAGTGCCTGGAATCAGTGAATACCGACAAACTCACAGGTGTT